ATCCAGCACCAACCACTTCACCTTCGCGCCCCCATCATCCCCCTCCCATTTCAAGACATCTAGATAAGCCACTGATTTGCACATGCTTACCTAAGATTATACTGACACTGGTTTCAAATCACGGTCAAGTAGTTAAAAATCACCTAAGATCACCTTATTTTGCGAATTAGCGCCCCTCAACTGATCATCGAGCCCCCGTCCCACTTCATCTTCGCGCCCCCACCCCCATCAGCCTCCCATTTCAAGACATCTAGATACGCCAATGATTTACATGGCCACATGAATGAAAATACTCAATCGATGTGCCACCAAATCGTAACCAGCCTTCACCATGTCCTCACGATGTCACCGGGGACGCAACTGCCAAAAACTATTTTTGGCAGCGAAGGGGACACGTTAACAATAAACATTCAACGAAACTGCCGGGTTTCTGGGTTGATTTGCAAGATACTACATGGCTCAACTATTTTTTAGTTAGGGGTTAATTGGTAAAAATCGCACACAAATCATACGACGTCACTGACAACGCCGGGGACGGCAACTCGATTTTGAGATTAATTTTCCGAATAAAGTTATACTAATAAATAACTTGTAATGACGAACTATTGTCTTCAGTTGTCTTTGTTGGTAATTCAACTGTCATTTTATCTATATTTTCAGTGATATTACCATTCTCAATAATCTATAACACACCCACATAAAAACGTCACGTTTGATCGATCGGTGGGGACGCCGTGGGGACGCCGTGGTGAGGCCGGTAGGGTCAATTTTCATTTTCATCGAAAGGTATCAAGATAATAGACAGTTTCATTGGACTAAATTCTTGCTTATGTTAACCACATGCTTACCTAAGATTATACTAACTGGTTTCAAGTGAAATAACTGACAACTTTGGTTTTTATCAATGTTTTAATAAAGGCCTACATAAAACTATGTCAGAAATACGTATGCAAAAATGCACAGGGACACCACGCTGTTTTTTGTATTTTTCTTGTTTGCCTGATCACCCATCATACACAAAATAATAGATATTTTTTATACACAAGTTAATAATTTGTATGCTATTGCAATATGAATAAGTTTATTTCAAAATTATTTTTTCAAATGATTTTTGACATTAGCAAGGGACAATACATCTTTAAAAAAGAAAGGCGTTTTAAGCAAACTATTGTTAATTTGGTGATTATTAACTGTGTTGCCTACTGTTTATGGTCAACTGAACACGTCAAGTGGGTCCGTTTATGGTACAACAACGACTTCGCCATCATTAAGTGCTGTGTAGGCCTACGTTACTTATATGGATCATTTTCTATTGATAATTATAAGACAACGTCGTAAATTCAAGTGCATATACTTTTTTCTTCGTTTTTTTTTTTATTATATTTTTTTCTCTGCAATTTTAGGCGATTGTATAACCGCAATCATTTAGTCTACGCCATCGGCTTAGACTCTAGTAGGATTTTATTTAGCCATTTTGCCAATTACCATAGGCCTACAGTATGTCATTTTGGAAGTGTTGCCGTTTGGTTTATTGCCGTTGACTTATTGCCGTTTTGGTCTGCCGTTTTGACTAATTGCCGTTTTGGTCCATTGCCGTTCTGGTCTAAAAGTGTTGCCGTTTTGGTTTTTTGCCGTTTTGGTCATTAATCAATCATTTAGAACATACACCTTTAGATCGGTGGCACTCAAAATCATTTGGTGCGTTCAAAGTGAATTAAAATTCTTAGCTACAAGTAGGCCCTACAAAAAAAAAATTAAAAAATTACGAAACAAAACAAGGGAATCTTAAGTAAAAATGAAATAAACACAAGTGAGTAGTGCTGCTGATGAGGCAAGTAGATCCCCGAAAAACATGACAAGGAAATACAACCTGCCTTGCCTGTCACAAATTTCGAAGGGCCACCTGTACCATCAACAAACTCAACAAAAATATTAAGGCAAACAAAATTAATTGGTTCCAAAAAAAAAAAAAAAAGAAGAAGAAGAAGAAGAAGGAAAAGACAGTAATACAGATACTTAATCTACGATAAAGATTAATCTTTACGATACTTAATCTACGGTCATTGCCGTTTTGACTTATTGCCGTTTTGGGCTTTTGCCGTTTTGACCTGTTCCCCTTTCGCGGCGACTCGGCGCTCGCGAGAAAAAGTGCATGCATTATTCATGTTACCAGTTCACCTACTAAATGACCTTTAATAGTGCCCTCTATAATTTCTGCCGGAACTGTATGGAAAAAAAAGATGTTCCCCGGGTAGGCGCTAGCCAAGTTTAGTAAAGTAGGACTCTTTGAGTAGATCTCCATAAGACGTTACAGAATATCTAGTAAGAATTTTGGTTTATAGTATAATAATTTATAATACAGATATGATTTTAAACCGTGTCTTGTCTTAGCCTTGGCCAGGCCTTATGCCCAGCCTGTGCTAACCAAGAAGGCCCACAGACAGTGTGAGGTGAGTGGTGTGAGTTGCTAAATGGAATTCGATCCAACTCGGCCACAAGTCAACTCGGCCACAAGTTAACTCGGCCACAAAAAGTTTGGCTCAGTCAACTCGGCCACAAGTCGAGTTGACCGAGTTGATTTGTGGCCGAGTTGACTTGTGGCCAAGTTGGCTGTAGCCGAACTTTTTGTGGCCGAGTTGACCTGCACCCGCTAAATGTAATTAGCACATGATTAGCTAGGCCAAGGCAAGAGTACAATATTTTCTTTGATAAATAGGCGTAAGAGTTCCACTCAGTAATAAGAGTCATGTCATTTATCTACAGCCATCATGTTTGTTTTCCCTTTCTTTTATCATATCGGTAGTTTAAGTACACGGCCTCTTGGAAGACCAACCTTTGTAAAAAGATTGAAATGAGTATCCGTGGATAAATAAAGTTATTATATTATGTCAAGGTAGGCATGAATCCTCAGGCCAGCTTGCTTATGCCTTTGCTTTAAGAAAATTGACATATACTATTCAGTCTTTGGTCTTATTATCTATTTACATGATGAGAACACAAGCACTAAAAATTGAATATACAGTACTGTATAAAGTGTAAATAAGAGGATTCTTAAATTTAATAGGATTAGGCCAAAAAAAAAAAAAGGAAAAAAATTTGTGTTGGCCACGTTTGGGAAAATAAAAAAAATGCGTAGGTCGGTAGGAAAACTTTTTTTTTTTTACCTCAAAAATGTGTTTACGCTAAAAAAGTATAAAATACACAAAATATTATACAGCAATTTTGAATTTACATCATGTACCATGCACCAAAATAGGCTAGGCCTTGGCCTCCTAGCCTAGTCCAAGGCTATTTCAGCCTTATGAGCGCATGAAAAAAAAATGTTGTTCCTTGTAGTTAAAAAAAAAACTAAAATGCCGACGCTGAATTTCGTAAAATTTGGGTCGGTCGGGCGTGGCCAACACGATTTTTTTTTTTATTTGGGCTTACTAGCACTTTAAATGGGCCTGCATCAAAAGTATATTCGATAAATTTGACACTAATAATCATGATTGTGGAAACTCATTCTCATGCCTAAAGACGTTAACGATGCTGTTTTTGTAAGTGATGACATTGGTAAATGAGTTTGAATGAAAACATTAAAATGTTATTTACTGTGTGATGATTGACTATCATACAACAATACAGGCTTAGGCATAAGAATATTGTTTTGATTTCTTTGTTAATTGAGTGTTTTTTTTTAATTATTTGTTGATGTATTATTTTTACAAGGTAAACTGTGCAATATCATGTTCGAATTTGATTGTTAAATGTTTATTTCAGAGTGAGGTTATCAACATGGTGCATAGCTACTTTGTTCTTCCTGGAATCCGTTTCATTAACATTACCAGGTCATATATCATTGTTGCTGGTCTTGCCTCTGTCATATTATGGATCACAGGTGTGTATGTGCCAATTTAACTCATTCAAAAGAAAATAAGTAAGCAGAAAGTAAAGAAATAGATATCAGTTTAAAATAATGAGAACAGTTGAGATTTGAGCCAAGACTTGTAAACAGTCAAGGATGGTGAACCATACACTGTCTATAAGCTTTTCCCCACACTATATAATTTTTGTGTTGAAAAAAATATGATATCCCCATATTTATGTGTAACATGAGGTATAAAATTAGTATTTTATACCTCCATGTGTGTTCAATATGACATCATCAAACCCAGATATGGGCACATTATGCAAACTTATGACAAAATTGTGTACAGTAAGACTTGTGTACTAAGCTTTAGGTAGCTGTAAACTTCAGAGCAGCTGCAGAGAAAGAACAGTCTGCACATGATTTTTAACTATATACTGTAACTCTTTCAGCTTAGCTGATATTGAGGGGCCCTTTTAAAATTTAAAATCAAAATGATAATAATTAATAATACAGGTGCTTCTTAAACTAAGTATTATTACAAGGCTTAGGTAGTGTGGAAATTTTTTTAGTCGTGAGAGTAAATACTGATCTTTAACAGGATTTGAACCCTGGGCTTGGAAGCCAAGCATCTTTATCAACCTTCATCTCCACTAAACTATTGGTTTAAGGCAACTAATAGAACAGTGAAGAATGGTAGAAGAGAATAATAGATAATAACTCATGCGGCAGAGTACAGTGAAATTAGATTGGAGATGTAGTGCAACTCCAGTATTGTTGAATTATGTTCTGATATTTTCTCCTAATATAATTTTTTTTGTAAATAGGATGCATTATTTGTATTTCACATTATTTTTATTATGGGGTATGTAATAAATGCTTGTAGCTATGTTTTATGCAATCCATTTGGTAATTGGTTTTTAAATTTATAAATTGAATGTTTGTATACCAAGGAAAATGATGTTTTCTATTATCCTTATTGAATTTATTTTCAGGCGGCCATGATGTGTATCTAGAGCAGACAGTTACTAAGTGGGGCATAACAACATCAGCCTTTGAACTTGCTTGCATCGCCTTTATTAAAGTCTTCATCTTATTCTATCTTTACACCAAAGTTGAAGACTTTACATTGCGTATACTTAATGATCCGTACAACTTATATTTAGAAAGTCGTAAACGTCTGTGTCATATCTTCATCTTTATTGTGTCTTTCATCTGCTTTGGGTATGCGTCCGTCAAAGGGGGATTAGTGTTGAACGCAATTTTGAATGACGCATCGTATACTCCGATGCATCCAACCTACAATGCCCTAGTTATCGCATCGATAGTCTTTGGTTTCATTGACGTCTCATTGAGCATAATTTCTCCGTACTATCTTCGTAAATTACAAGTGATTCGCGTGCAGAAAAGATTCAACGATGACCTTCAGGAAATTGACGAGAATGGAAAGGTTATAATGAAGGAAAAAAGTGTGTCGTTAACACGTATGTTGAGCCTTGCAAAACCAGTAAGTGCCATGCTTAGGGGGTTTTCCCCAAAATGCAAAGTGAACTACCTATATACAGGATGCTAATACTGGATACTAATACAGTATATATGTGGTGCTTTAAGTCTAATATATCATATCACAATTAATTTCCTTGAGACAATCATATAATACAATGATAAACATGATAACAAGGTAGAAATACAAGCACTTAAAAAAGAAGTTAAAAAGGTCATTAAAACTGTACTGGATTGCTCAAAAGTACTGTAAAAGCAGGTTTACTGTCAGGGAGCTCTCCCAGTTAAATCTGCAGTGACTTATAAAACTGAATTAAAACGTATGCAAAATTTAGAAATTTGTTTATAAAATGTATGTAGTAAAATTAATTCCTTAAAATTCATCATAAAACATGGTTATACTGTATTATATTATATTTGTGGTGGGTTTTTTTTGTGTGTGTGTAATATACTGGTACATAAAATTCAGTAATGTAGAGGTTTCTGCAAAATTCTCAAAAATATGAGTCTCTGTGTATATACATACAGTAAATCCTCAATGTTAGAGTTTCTGGACCTGACATAAGTAATCCAAAATCTATTGTTAATACTTATTACTATTCTTCACACCAGTTTTCCTGTGCTCCTACTGTAGCCACTAATATATATATTACTATTACTACTATATTATATATTTAGAATATAAAACATATTGTAAGTAGAATGATTATATTATGATGCTATTACATGTGATTGTGAAAATGTGAATTTATTATTATTATCTCTCTTGAACTCTTGACTTTCAACTTGACAGGAAGCTGGTCTTCTGTTTATTGGAATGATTGCCTTGGTTTTTTCCAGTGCCTCTAGTATGGCTGCTCCTCTGTTCTTTGGCAAGGTCATAGATGCTGCAGCTGTACATCAGGATATGGGTATTGTAATCATAGGTTTTCATCATCGTTGTCATCATCTTCATCATCATTATAATCATTGTCATCTTCATCATCATCGTCATCGTAATAATAATCATCATCATCGTCATCACCATCATCACTGACACTATTAGACCTGTCATCATCATTGTCATCATCATTTTTTTTTTTCCCCTGACTGAGATGGTCATTTATTCATCACTCATAACTTACATGGCCGTTGACTCCGAGGAGCTAATCCGCACTTGTTCAAGTGTATTATTACAAGGGAATTCTGTATATTACTTGCTTATATTGTAATACTTATATTTGGACATGACATTACAGTTTGTAATCTTTATAAATCTGTACTTATCAGTTCACTTATGATAATCACTATTGACACCATACTGTGGTTAAGGTACAGGTGTAATCACTATGTGTATAAGGTAAGTTTTTGAGAGATCAAATGTGATCAATGACTGCATTAGCATAACACATGTCACCAGGTCTCTCATTACAACAAAATGGATACAGAACAGTGGTGTATCTAGGAGTTTTGAAATGACCCCCATGGAGGTGTGAAGGTGGAGGGGAGCATGATGATTAAGTGAGGGGTGCTAGGTTGCACAACAAGGTTATATTTAACTACTAAAGCATGATTTGTTTGCTTTTGACATTTTCAACGAGGGGATACGGGGGGGGGGGGGATGCACTTCTTAGATATGCCACTGATACCGAAATAGAGATAGATACAGTAAGAGAAAGAGTAATAATATGAAACATAAAGAATAGGAACTACAAAAGTTAATTCCCTAGTTCCCTAAATGACAAATATAAGAAATGTTTTTACAAAATTAAACATATTTGTTTATCTGTAAATTTTTTTATGAACCATATAGAGGTGACATTTAATTATATACAAGCTATGAAATACATACATGCAAAAGTAAAGCAGGCACATTTTTGAAATTATTCTTTATGTTTAAAAAGCCATGAAATATAGGGATCATACATGTATTGTTAATTATAATGTATAATTAATTTACTTTATTCCTTTTCAGCTAGAGTGAATAAAGCTGTACTGATCTTGTTTCTAATTTCTGCTGGGGGTGCTGTTGCATCATTTTTTCGTTCATGGGTTTTTACACTTGCTGGAACACGTGTGGTTTGTCGGGTGCGTCGGAACCTACTTGCTGCTATCATTCAGCAAGATATCGCGTTCTTTGATCTAAATCGTACGGGAGAACTTACGAGCCGTTTGTCTTCTGACACACAAGTAGTACAAAATGCAATCACAGTATGTATAAAATTTATTTATTAATTTATAATAAATACATAAATATTTGTGTTTTATATTTAAATATCATAATTTATATATTATTCTGCTGGGTTTTTCTAAGTTAGATTTATATACAGATTTTATTGGTTCGGAAACCTGATAAAGTCATAATGTCACATAGAGGATTAACAATACCGAGTAGTAATATCATCAATCAATTAACAATCAATCAATAAACAAGGATTTGTGTAGTGCCAATATCCACAGCAGAATGCAATGTACAGTGGCACTATGACAGTGCCATTTCTCAAAGTGCACATTAACTACTATACATGTATTGTATTTTATAATGCCGTCAGTATAGACACTTGGCCTAACTGTCAGGAAAATGTGTTATTAAATTTCATCATCATCATCAACGGCAAATGTTTTGCAACATAGCACACCTGACTAGACTTATCCAATCGGAGAAATCATTTCATTTCATTTTTCATTTCAGCAACATTTATTTCTTTCATCTTTCTTTGATATATATATATATATATATATACATACATACAGTAGAAAATAATTAAATTGAGCAATAATAATAATATCAGAATAACTGTATAACTAATAATAGCAATTAACATATAAACAATGAAAGAGGCAACAGCCCTGGAAGTAAATTCGGTTTAAAGGTTAAACCGAAACTTGTGTCGAGCTAGCCAGATAATAGACAATAACAGTAAATTTCAAAACACATCAAAAACAAAACAACAAGAAAACAACAGACGAACACCAGGAAAGATGGAAAAAAAGAGGGCAAATCATTAGCCAGTATGTGCATAGATAAAAATATAAAAAGTATTTAAGATAAAAAAAATAAAAAAGCATTAAATAATATTTTAAATATTTAATATTCCCATTGACATTTAATCCCAAGACCCTTTGACCTTACAATGTCTCCCATGATGCAATTCTTTTTCTTCTCGGTTTATACTCATTATTCTTTCTTTCTTTTGGAAAAATGTAACAATATTAACTCATTTAAATTTTGTTTTTAATTATCATGGTTGTCTTAAAAACGTTATTAATTATGAATGTGTTTTATCTTCTAACTTATTGTATATTTGCAATGTTTAAATTTGTATGTTTAATATTATTATGGTAGGCCTTATTTATTGGTAAATTAAGTATAGTTTTATAATTGTTGTCATCTTTAAAGAGGGCTCCTGGATATCAGCTGGCCTGTGGGTTTAGCTGGAAGGGTTACCCTCTTAAAATAAAGTTGAAATGAAAAAAAATTAAAAATTGTAATTTTTTACAGGTAAATATATCGATGCTTGTGCGATACATGTTCCAGATCCTTGGCTCACTTGTTATTATGCTGGTGCAGAGTCCATCTCTTACAGGTGTGCTCCTGTCTGTTGTACCTATTGTGGCCATTGGAGCTGTGCAGTATGGTATGAGCAATATAATTTTTTTCTCATGAGGAAAAAGTAGCTTTCCCCAGGGAGTGGGGTCATAAATCCTGACCCCCATTGACCATGGGGGGGGTCAGTGGACCAAAAAAAGTTAAGAACCTAGGGAATAAATCCATGAAGCAGGATGCCTATAGGAAAATCATTTTTTATTTGGAACCACCCACTCTCTACCCCCTCCCCTCCACAGTTAACGGCAATAAAATTTGGTTTTACCTATTTTTAAAATGGTTTAAGACCTTTGTTCAACACAAATTCAAATTATAGTAAAAAAAATGAGAACAATATTTTAAAAACATGGTTTTTTTTCCTCTATTGAAAACATTGTCTTTTTGTGAAGCGGGGTGGTTGAGGATCTGGTGTTGACACAATAGTGAACTTTTTTCCAGGTAAATTTGTGAAGGGTATTAGTAAAAAGTTCCAGGATGCACTCGGCGATGCGAGCACTGTTGCCGAGGAGTCAATCTCAAGCATTAGAACTGTCCGTAGCTTCACCAGTGAACGAAAAGCATTGAAATTGTATTCAAAAGAAATCGAAATCAGCTACGGATATGGAAAGCAGATAGCTCTGGCATCTGGTATAGCTAATGGTATTATTGGTATTGTCGCTCAGGTGAGAAAACATTTGATACCGTGGAAGCGGTTTGGCCCAGCGGGAACAGTTTGGTTTCCCAACCTCAAGCTTGGGGTTTCAATCTCTCGCTGAGCATTTCACTAGTGGCCTTAAGTAAGGCACTTTAGGAAAGACACTTTTTATACCTTGTTTTGCGAACTTTTTTTTTTAAAGATTGTCAGAGGAGGGAGGAAAAACAATAAAAATAAATTTTTTTTTTCTTATTTAGCAAATTGTTTTTCTAAAAACATCCAGATGGAGAAAAAAAAATGTTATTGGTGAATGTAAACAGTATAGTAATGGGATGGTTAAATGCTAAAAATTTATATAATTATGAAGAAGTTATTACATATCTTATTTTTTTCTGAAATTTCCATTTTTTGTGGGGGGCGGGTGCGCTAATTGGCCTAAAATAAATTATATTTTTATTTCAAATCATCATTATTGGTGGGCGGTGTGTTTGCTAAACGAGGTATTAAAAATGTCTCGCCTTATTTGCGTTACTTCTCTTCACATAAGAATATAATGGGTACCTGGTGGTGTTGCCTGCTAGCTACTGTGCCAATGTGACAGCAGCGGTTAAGCATTTGGACCCAATGACCAGGGAAAGCAAAGCCCTTTGTACCGATAGGAAAGGCGCTATATAAATACCAAATTTTTTTTCTCTTATGATATCAATTGATATCTAGTTGCTGTTATTAATTTGGCTGGAACAGTCGTAGCAGGGTCACCAACGAGCAGGTTAACAGCATGACCCTCCCATTTATACTCCTGGGTGAGGAGAGACAAACGTAAGTAAAGTGTCTTGCCCAAGGACACAAGTAGTGCGGTGAGCGTCGGTCTCGAACTCCCGATCTCACAACCAGAAATCCAACAACTTACACGCTGCGCCACAAGCTCCTACAAGTATAACAAGTATAACTTAAAAATATAAATAATTTCAAATAAAAAAGTAATATTTGAGTGTCAGACAACTTCGATACACAACATTAATTTAACTTATAGTATTTGTTAATTCAGTAATTAAGTATTAGCTGGATTGATGCTGGAGTGTTCAAAGTCATTAGTAAATAAATAATAAATACATTTTCGTAATTTAATTGATTTTTTTGCCTTGTAGGGAGCCATCACACTTGTGTTGTGGTACGGTGGTAAACTGGTTTACAATAGCCAAATCTCTGTTGGTATATTAACAGGTATGATTCCTAATTGATGAATACTCTTGAAAAGAGTGGGCACAATACATTAATTTAAATACTATTGCTTCAGTATTATAATTTATACCTGCCACAAAGTAGCAAGAAATATATTTTATCAGTTATATTTTCAATTCAAATCTAATAAATTACATAAATATACAAAGTATGTAATTGATTGCACATAAACTCGCTAACTCGTCTTCAGAATGTGAACACTCGCCCCGTAGGGCCTAGGTTCAGGGAAGAAGTAACGATCTAAAAATAAATACTGTATGTTTGTGTGTATTTCAGTACAGGTGATGGGAATTAGGATGGCGCACTTTATGCCTTGACAAATGCGATGAAACTAGGAAGTTTTGACATGTGGTTAAAAGTTGAATGATAATATATTCTTTTCATTTACCTGTTAGCATTTATGCTGTACACGTTAAATGTTGCCATGGCCTTTGCGTTCTTAAGTTCTCTGTATGGTGACTTCATGAAGGCAGTCGGTGCGTCTATTCGTGTGTTTGATTTGATGGACCGTGTCCCAGAAATTCGCAACAGTGGCGGTAACAGTCTCTTAGATTTTGACGGCAGCATTGACTTTTTAGATGTAAACTTCACATACCCATCAAGACCAGAAACTCAAGTACTCAAGGTCAGCTTATACTCAATTCTTTACTCTCTACTATTTCTGGAGTGTCTATCAGTCTTAACAAAAAACATTAAAAAAAATATGTGTTGTCCCGCAAACCCACATGTTTGTGTATGTTTTTGCAATGTAATTTTGTGGCACCATAGGAAAGACCACCTAACTGTACCTGTCATTGAAATTGCAACGCAATCACAATGTGAATAAAGTGTACCTTTGAATTATTAAATCATTATAATTAATACTTAATTTTGATTGTCATTGTAGGGTGTGACGTTTGGTGTGAAACCGGGCCAAATGGTAGCTTTGGTAGGTCCTTCGGGGGGAGGCAAGTCCACCATTGTCAGCCTTATTGAGAGATTTTATGAGCCTAACTCCGGTACCATTCATTTGGGTATGTTTGTATCACTTACTTTGTATACAGTGTTTATTTATTAGCTTGTAAATAAAAATATGAGAAAATGCTTCTCTTCAATCTAATTTCATTCATCGAGTTTTTAAAATAGGTCTAGAATATTCCTATTAAACATTCAGTTTGTTTAGTTTATTAGGGTTCATTGATTCAAGGAATTCCTTAATTTTCATAATTAATGTTGAATTTGAAGTAACTTTCATCGAGTTCTAATTAACATTGTTTTACAAAAGTAATTTTCAATTACAATTCAATTTTTATCACAGTGCGCGATATGTTCGCGGTGACACGCAAACCTAAAAATAGTCAAGCCAAGCGTCCACTATTGAAAAATTATTGGACTGTTTGGGATAGGCAAATAACATTGGGAATTGCAGTGATGACATCACGATTGACTTATAATTCAAATTAGAGGGGTCCCAGGGAGGTATTTTGACAGATAGAGGGTTTAGATTACCTCTAGCCCACCATGATTACGGCTGAGGTGTGAGATTTTATGATTATGGTACCTCTAGATGGCCGGAAATGGCACCCTAAAATGTTAATATAATTTTCTTGTTTTCTTCTTTGTTTAAGACCACTTTTTCAATGAACCAGTTAACATTTTTCAACCCTCTCATTGGAGACCTAACCCCTGAGACCACCTCAAATTTTCATTTTCCAAAGGTAGACTTAAATTAGAGGGCAAATGTCGTACTTCTGAAAAAATTATGATTATTCTTATTTTTAACTTCTTGTTATGATTTTGTTCATTAATAGGTGGTACTGATTTGAAAACACTTGACCCCCAGTGGTTTCGTAAGCAGATTGGTATGGTGAGCCAGGAACCTGTACTGTTTGCTTGCTCCATAAAAGAAAACATAGCATATGGAAAGGATGCTGATGATGAAGAGGTAACAAATAAGCAGTGGCGTATCACCAAAGAAAGCTTGCACGCCCCCTCCCCCACCCAGTGAAAAGATACTTGCACACACAATATAGACAAATAGATAAATAATAATAAGGCCAAATAAAAAGAAATTATAGTGTTGACCACGCCCAACCAACCCAAAATGTTTGAAATTGAAGGTTGATATTTTATTTATTTATTTATTTTTTTTTTTACAACGAAAAATATTTTTTATTGAGCTAAAAAGTCTGAAATAGGCTTATCTTGCGAGGGTAGATGATGCGACAGTGTTACGTGGTCGTTTTGCTCTTCAATATAGATTTAAAATTCGTCTTTGTTGTATTTTCTACTTTTAAGGCATAAACACATTGGTAAAAAAAATTTCCTACCGACCTACCAATTTTTTTGGATTTTCCCAAAACAAGGTCAACACAATAATTTTATTTTTATGACCTAACAGTGCTTGAATAGTAACATCTTGTAATAATTATATCAAGTGTAGCCCTTTAACGAATATTATACTTACAGTGCTGCACAGCAGACCTAATTTGAATATATATATTATATACATATATTCAAGTAGTGGTATTTAAAGAATGTATTTTTTGAAGTAACTTTCATCGAGTTCTAATTAATGTTGTTTTACGAAAGTAATTTTCAATTACAATTCAATTTTTATCGCGGTGTGCAATATCTTCACAGTAACACACGAACCTAAAAAAAGTCAAGCCAAGCGTCCACTATTGAAAAATTATTGGACTCTGGGGGATAGGCAAATAACATTGGGAGTTGCAGTAATGACGTCATGATTGACTTATAATTCAAAATAGAGGGGTCCCAGGGAGGTATTTTGACAGATAGAGGGTTTAGATTACCTACCAAACATACCAATTTTTTGGATTTTCCCAAAATGTGGCCAACACAAATTTTTTTTTTCATATGTATTCATACATATATTCATGTAGTGGTATTTAAAGAATATATTAATAGCAGTTTCTGTGGTTCCATTCACAGATTATAGAGGCAGCCAAACAGGCCAATGCTCATGATTTTATTACTTCATTCGAGGAAGGTTACGATACAAAGGTCGGGGAAAGAGGCGTGAGGTTGTCAGGTGGTCAAAAACAGCGAGTTGCCATTGCCCGTGCCCTTATCTTGAATCCGTCTGTCCTGCTCCTTGATGAGGTATACCTAGTGTTTCTTTTAATTTTTATGTAGGCCTATAATTATTCATGTCATGATATTGCTGAGCCCAATTCATAATCTTTATAGTTAATGTAAACATTGTGAGCTCCCTTTATCATTACTAAAGTTAAAGTTGGGTGTGCCATGTTTACATTGAAAGGAAAATAGTGAAATTAGTTTGATTTTAATGATATGCTGGTTTAGCATGTTTTGTTAGCTAAAGTATTTGCTATTACAGAATACCAGATTGCGGATATTTACCCTTTGATGGCTTTTGGAGCATTAATAAATTTAATTGAATTGAATGTTAGTACAGTATATTTTTGAATATATACACTGTAATAATTATTAGACATTGAGACTTTTTCATGAAAAATTTTTTTTAAATTTTGGTATGGAAACGTTTTAGGTTCCTAATTGATCAGCTTTTCAATTTCAATTCAATTGTATTGGATGGACCACTCCCACATAATATTTGTTGAAATAAAATTAATAAAATACCAGTGGTACAGTGGTGTTAAGTGTGCTTAAATGATAGATGATATTTAGCCTTACGAACTACTTTGTTTTTTTTTTTGTTTTTTTTTTCTATACATTGTAAAAAAAATACAAGGCAACCTTTGTTTCTTTTGTGTTTACTATAAGCCAAATAGATGTCCACTGATTAATCTCAGATAAGAAAGTATAATACATACTCCAAGTATTGAAATACACGCCATCGTGTTAGGATTCAATATTTCGACATTAATTATGTCATCATCAGGAATGATTAATTATGTCATCATCAGGAATGATTCCTGATGATGACATAATTAATGTCGAAATATTGAATCCTAACACGATGGCGTGTATTTCAATACTTGGAGTATGTATTATACTTTCTTACCAAATAGATGTGCCATACTAGTCTGATACTAGTAAATAAAACACTGGACATGAAATACTTCAAAGACTAGTTTTATTGACAATACACTAGCTTTTGTGCACACAGTGCTCTTCTTCAGGTGAACATTCACCTGAAGAAGTGCCGTGTGCACAAAAGCTAGTGCCCATTACATCAGCTAGTGTCTATTACTCTATATACCTCATACATAGATCCTAGGCATCTGATTAGTTAAGAAGCGGGGCAATAGAAAGATCTATTCCACTCAAAAATAGTACTCTTTTGACCTGTCACAATGTGCAAACTCTAGGCCCACTACATTGCGCTGCTGATGGTAAAGGGGAATGCGACCTCTACGACTATCCCCTGATCGCGTAGCAGCACTATATGATCTTTGCTGACCGCGTCACGGATCAGCGAGTAGACGATAAACAAATATGGAGGCTCATCATTTCGAGATGGAGGAGGACTAGCCTAGGCCTAGCATTACTTCTTTATGAAGCCGAGAGCAAAAGCACCAAAAGACAAATTAAATGTCTTATCAATATTTGACAAATATATTGCAAGATGATGGGTGCTGTTGAAATTGAGGAAATAAGTAAAGAAGAACTAGACACACTCTTTGATCGCCTTAGGCAAGGCCTAGCTAGTCGAGTAGTAGTAGTAGGCCTAGTATGCCTCTAATATAACAGGCTAGGAAGTAAGTACTTTTTTAGGCCTCGTAAAATCTATGTATGAGGTATATATAAAACAAATATTGACTGCTCTATATTTGGGGAACAGTGAAATCTATTGTCCCTCGGTGATGTGGAGGTCATAGCCTGTCTACGGTCTCCACATCACCAAGGGGCAGTAGATTTCACCATTCCCCTCATGAGCAGTCAATATTTGTATATTATATCAGATTACTGTCTATTATATCAGTGTCTATTATTATATCAGACTAGTACAGCTCATCTATTTTTACTTAACAACATGTTACTTGTTCCTAAAAAGTATATTTATAATTTTTATTCTTTTGTGATGTTCAAGTTGAAGTGCTACCAGGCGGATATATATTATTCATGTCTATATTTTTCTCAACATGAATCATCAAATTTTTTTCACTGTTGTGTGATTGTACAGTAAATGCCTGCTGTCAATCGCATTAGCGATGTAAACATTGCTGAAAAGACATTGAATGCATAGCTTAAAAATTTAGTTTTTTTTAATATTATCAGTTTTTTTGTGTATTGGTAAAAGCTATGCACAGATCCTGTTTTGTTTCTTCATGTTCCTCCTTAAACATTTCAGTGTGATTTTTCTTGAAACATAGAGAAAATAAAACAGCTCTATGCTTGAATATACCTTGATCTTATTTAAGATTTTTAATTCTGGTGTTCTTCTCTATATTTTGTTGCTGCGGTCTGTGGAGGACAGAGAACCAGGGGTTTTTATCCCTGATCAGTCCCCAAATAAAAAAAAACAAAAAAAAAAAACCAAGGAATGCTGATATTACTAAAACTACAGGTCATTCAAAATAACATAATTATCAGAATGTTTGTGATACATATAATGTACTTATATAATATACTTAATTATTTAGGAAAGTATAATACATACAATCATTCCTGATGATGACATAATTAATGTCGAAATATTGAATCCCAACACGATGGCGTGTATTTCAATACTTGGAGTATGTATTATACTTTCTTATCTGAGATTAATCAGTGGACCTTTCGGTTTAATTATTTAGTTTCTCCTTTTTGAGTAATGTAGGCTACTAGTGCATTGGATGCAGAGAGTGAATTCCTGGTGCAAGAGGCTATCGACCGAGCCATGCAGAATAGAACAGTGCTGGTGATTGCCCATAGGCTGTCAACAGTGCGAAATGCATCTCAGGTGAGTTGGGTTATTGGTGGTCAGACTGTGGATACTGTATCCAGAACATCTTTCATTTGAAGTTTTAATTGCATCAAGTAAACACTGAGTAAATTCAATTCTCTTTTGAGGGTGGGAGCTGTTTAGTTAGAATATCCATCATCATATTACCGTATAAATATATTATTGTCGTTGTCGTAACCTTATATTACTACAGTACTTAATAATATCCGTCACTTGACAGGTTGGGTTTATAAACTAGTCCCTTACTGTACATGAATAATGTAGCAATGCGTATGCTGGGAAGTGTTGGCTCCAGAAATTTGCTGATGGGGGACGAAGGAGTCCAACCAGTGGTGTATCTAGGGGAGAACACTGGCATTGGGAGGGGTGCACAACCACTAAAAACCTCACCCCCTCCATCCCCCCCCCCCTCGCCAGTGGGGTGGGGGGGGGGTGAAGCAAAAAAATCATGCTGAAGTAGATAAAAATCAACTCGTATCACCTTAATTTGTGAACTAGCACCCTCGCTTAATCATCGAGTGTCCCCCTTCGCCTTTGCTCCCCCATCAGCCCCCATTTTAAGACTCCTAGATATGCCATTGAGTTCAACAGGGGTATCTGAAGAAAGGGACTGCCTAGAGCCTGTTTCAGGTTGCTAAAATAAAATTCCTAGTGGGGTTCATGGGGAGAGATTTTATGGTTTAGTGTGGCCCCAAATTGTGCTTCCAGACCAAAATATTTGGGATTGGTAATCACAATAAATTTGCTTGGTTCACCCAATTAATATATTTAGTCCGACGCCCTCTTTGTGGTATCAGATCACAGGGGATCCTAGCTTGTTCGACAAGAGAAATTGCTCCTCCTTTCCGACACATTGTTTGTTCTGTAGGTATTGCTGCTTTTCATACCATTTCTATGTCTATCGTATTCAGCACCCCATGTGGGGCAAAATGATTTGGCTTTAGTTGTGCACATGTTAGAAGTGCTGAGGTCTTGATTTGTGCAATAATTGTTGGTCCCTGCTGGCAGTACCATCTCACCAATCGGCTTTCACCAGGTGTGCGCCATATGGTAGCAGCCGGAGGTATCCAATAGGGATCATAACCACCTGGACAAACTTCATATTCTTAAACTGTAACTATTGGTTGCTGATGAAGGATTCCTACACAGATGTGGTAACTTATGTGAGTTTTATTTTTAAAGGTGGTGGTCATAAAAGATGGAGCCGTGGCAGAGATGGGTACCCATGATGAGCTACTAGTGAAGGGAGGTGTTTACAAAGACCTTGTTCTACGACAGCTGAGTTCTGGAACTGAAAAGGAAGCTGTGAAAGAGAGTTCCATAAACGGTGACTTGGACTAAAATGAAAAAAAAATCCAAAATTTGCAATGTGCAATCCAGTAAATATAGGTTTTTTAATAATCATTCATTTAAAATATAAAATGAAAACTTTAAAATAATCAAATTAAATATTTTTGATATACTTTTACCTTGTTTTTTGTAATATACCTTGTTCAGTTGTTGTTTTTGTGACTAGGATCAATAGACAGTCCAAGTGATTTCCAAACCATGATTCCATAATTATTTACCTTTTCCAATAGCTTCTTTGATTGCTTGTCGTATGTAAACTGGTGTTAAAATGCTTGCCTCTAATCCTGGACTTATGATTTTAATCCTGTTTTAAATCTTCAGGATTGTATTGCAACCATAAACTCCCTCAAGCCTTGCATGAAGATTTTGCTTATTCGAGTCCTTTTTTTGGACCTGAACATTTTGGGAGCGGTCTTAAGCCTGTTTCCACTAGGCGAATTTGTTAGCGCGAATTGAAGGCGTTGGTTCGGTTCCTTCAGTTCTGATTGGTTACAATTTTTTTTCACTTCGTGAAAAAGTAGGAACAGTTTGAACTACAGATTTTGCTGAAGCCAAACTCCGATTGAAATGTGCATGCGTATGAACCGATGCTTTCGACTTGCGCAAAATTCGCAAGTGAAAAACAGGCTTTAGGGTTTAGTCGCCATATAAAGGGTCCTGGATTTAAATAATACAAATAATATTGGAATAATTCTTCAAACAGGTTTTGTGTAGAGCCAATAATCATACGGAGTAGCACATCCTTCTGGATGACCGTGGCTCTGCCACTCTTGTTATTCCTTGCATTTTTTTATTGCCAAAAGGAATAAAATTAAATCGTTCAAAGTAGAATGTTGAGGCCCTTTAAGCAAATAAAGTACTTCATTGCAAACAATTATATTGCTAGTGATGTAAGAGCTCCCACTTGCTAAAGCTAGGGGACTCTCACCTTTTGGTGCCCTGCAAGTAATGTATCGATCAGTATGTTTTTGTTGCCAGAACCGTAGGCTCTGTATTGACCAAGTAGATGTCTTCAAGATATGCCCCATACTTCACTGAGGCCCTATCACTAGGGAAGCTTTAGCAAGAGGCCGGTGGCTTCTTTGTTATTCCACCACACATTGCCAACTATGGTAGTTTAGGTTTCTTCTTGTAGTTTGATTTCTGTAGGGGCATTATTTTTTCTTCACTTAATTGCAATAAATTCAAAATTGTACTAGTATTTTTAACATTAAGATATTTTATTGGTTCCACTGAAATATTGAAATGGTAATCAGTTTATAAAAAATGTCAAGCAGGATTTGAACCTGCAACCTATAAAAGCATATATATACATACTATATATATATATATATATATATATATATATATATATATATATACAACAATAATAATATTAGTTTCATCAGAAAATAGCAATGATTTTTATATGGTTGTGATTATTTTTTAATCAGGGATAATTTTTATATGGTTGATTAAAAATAAAGTTGTATCTACTTAATTAGCAGACTAAGATTTGTGTTTGTTTGATCATTTCAAGTCATATTCTCAACACATTGTAACACAAATCACTTTAATATAATATATAGTCTTGGAAATTGACTTATCTGAGTATTCTTAAGGTCTGTTTATACTTGCAACGATAACTATAAAAAGTAATTTTTCATATAGAAAATAAAAGAAATAAGAGCAGTTTTTACACTAGGATGATTTGATAACGATTTATACAGTAAAAAATAATTTCACAAATCAAATCAAATGACATCATCATCATTGAAAAACGATAAAATCGTAGTAGTAACAACGATTTTATCGTTTTTCCATGATTATGACGTTATTTGAATTGATTTCTCAAAATATGTTGTTATCGTATGCACGATAAATCGTTATTAAATCGTCTAGTGTAAAAGCTTCTCTAATATTTCTTTTATTTTCTATATGAAAAATTGCTTTTTAGTTTTTTATTGTTATCGTTGCAAGTGTCAACAGGCTTTTAGGCAAGCAAAGATCTACAGCTAACTGAATCTACCGCAAATTCAGAATGCTTGCATGATTTTACTACTGTATATATATTTTTTAAATTGGTCATAAGCTTATTAAACCGGATCATCCCAAGTGGTTTTTCAACTTTACTCTGAAATTAGTAATGAGGCCATGTTTTGATCTCTGCATACAGGGTGTCTCCGGGGCAAGTGGTGGTCCCCATGTCACGATGTCCTCGGAGAATGTAAGTTGTACTTACTTTCCGCAATCGAACTCCACAGTTAATCAGATTCTTCGCTGCATCCAGAGCAATCTGTTTTGGCTATGGAAAGGAATTTAATAGCATTTATCTTCTAATCAATGATGTTATGCATATTGTCATTATTATTATCATCGTCATCAGTATCAACATTGTTATCGTTTTTGTATCTTTATTATCATCATTTATATTATTTGTTACATATAGTACATAAAAAATAGTGTAATTCGTTTGTGGTTCTGGTCATGTAAAGTGGCTGCGCCTGGAATTTTAAGTACCTTTATATTTGAGAAATTGCCCATGAATGATATAGCAATACCGACGTCATTGTAGCCTCTAGTGTGCGCACCAACTCGATCCCAGCCACGCCCCTCGTACACTTTGCCATCTTCACCAATCAGAAAGCTGTAACCGATGTCATCCCAACCTAAGACAATTAAGAGATTAATTTTATGGCGATTATTTTATATCAGGGGAAAAAGCACAGATTTGGAGGGCATCATTATCTCGAAAAGATTTCCGAAGTCATTAACTGTAACCTTTATAATCAGTAGTCCTACCTCTGTCGTCCATATGATAGTTTTGAATTCCGCGCACAACAGAGCTACACGAAGACTGGGAAGTACACGCACGTCCGTCGGTGTGGTGAATGAAGACATACTTTACAGGAAGCGACAACTGACTGGTGGATTTAGGGGCTCGGGCACCCCAATCAGACCGACTCACGATAGTGACGTCACTACATTCGTCACCTGTATTATAATAAAAGTAAAGATGTATTTAAGTCTACACAATACACATAAAATAAAGTTAAATAAATTCAATTCCATATTTTAATCATTAAGGAAAATCAGAAAAATAGTTTAAAATTTAATTAAACTTTTCAATAGCTCATTCAAAAGAACCAAATAAGTATATTAACTTCGACCCAGAAACAAATCGGAAAAAATCGCTGATCTATATTCAGCCCATAGCCAAGGGAGCCATTCCCTCTGGTAAATTCCCCCGTCTGTCAAAATCAAAGTTATAATTGAGTATTGGAAAAATAACAAATGTACGACAAATGTATTTTAATTTATATAGGCACTACAGACCTGCCAACTCTCCCGATATCTAAACAAATCTCCAGTTCTCCCGATCGAATGTGGGCCTAATTTTCACCAGATTTCACTGATTTTACAGGTTCCCTTCGCAAAATACTCCTATATTTGCACATTTCATGATTAATTATTCAATGTATTTGCCACGATAGACAAGCAGCAATTTAATAGGCCTAAGTTAATTGTTTGGCAATAGTTTTGTACCATTGATTTTATACCACTATGATTTGTCTTGACGTGTCTTTTTTAGTAAATTGCATCATCTTTTGGTTAATTCGGGAAACCTCCAGTTTTTTAGGTAAATCTCTAGTTTTTTTTAAGATTAAAAAAAAATCTCCAGATTTTCATGGCCCAGGGTTGGCAGGTATGGCACTATGCCTGATACAACCTCAGATACATATTTACTTTCATGAGGATCATTATTCTGTACCCAAAAACCTAGACTAGCAAATAACCGGAACGTCCTAGTAGAGTTTTTACTTCTAAGAGTGTGTATTGGTATAAACAACTGCTCTCTATTCCTGGAATATTTGAATATTATATAGGCTCTTCGTGGTGAAATCTACTGTATCCCGGTACAGTATTAAATATTTCATGAATATTGCAGTACATCCCCATCCTCGTAGGACCTAGAGGTTGCATACATTGCTGTTTGCAGACAAGTCTAGGAAATTTAATTAAATTCATTAATTTAATGAGCGTTTCTTTTGAGACGCTTATAATGAATTTCATTAAATTTCTTAAAACATTCTAGCAATTTTTTTCATAATTTAAACAGTAAGACCCTAATCTGAGTGTGGAATTTCCGGGAATCTAAAAGTTGCTACATTTTTTTACACTCCGGAAGGTACCTGATTAATCTCAGATAAGATAGTATAATACATAGGCCTACTCCAAGTATCGAAATGCACGTCATCTAATCCCGACACGATGGCGTGCATTTCGATACTTGGAGTATGTATTATAGGCCTAGCTTTTTATCAGTCAGAAACATGGTGCATGCTGTGCTGAGGAGAGACATCCTCTCCTATTTTTACCAACATTTATGGGTTTAAAATTGAACGTCAGCAATACTGTCAAGTCGGTCCATGGTCAAGTTAAGACACTTTGAAAAACATGATTCATTGTAAGTCTGAGGGAGTGATTTTTTTCAAGCTCAGCTCCAACCATGGTGGGACTGAGGAGAGTGTGGCCCAGCGTGACCACTCACAATTTTGATATACCCAATGACTGGGTCGAAATTACCCAAGATTCAGCAAAAATTGCCCAAAATTACCAAGCTTCCAGAAAATGCATTAAAAGTTGAAAAAAAACCCCGTGTTTTCGCATGCATAGTTTCCCTTTTATTTATAAACCATTTTTATTGTAATTGTTTGTGTTAATTATTTAAAATAATATTCATGAGGTGATAATACGGATAGAAAAATACGCCCAGTCAGCCAGTGTTATCAGTAGATCAGTAATTAACTTTTTATTATGTAATGCATTAATAGGTAAGATATCAGTAGATCAGTAATTAAGTTTTATTATGTAAAGCATTAATAGGTAAGATCAATGGCAACGCAAATCACAAATGAACAATTCTGAACCCATGTTTATAGCAATTAAAAGTCATTTAACAATGTTATGTGCACTTCGTTGAGTTTTGCTTACTTGAATGGACTGACATATACTTTGTTACTTCTTAATTCTTCCTCTATGACAAAAATATTTAATTTTATTAGTAAAAATAAAATACCCAAGGATTTGAACGGAACACCCAAGAACCCAAGATCAAGTCAAAATACCCAAGATCTTGGGTAAATACCCAAGCAGTGGTCACAATAGTGTGGCCCTTCTAGTACTTCCCCCATTGGAAAATGTTAATGCTCCCCCCTGATAAATGAGTCTGGCTATTGGGCTGTTTATATTTACTACAAAAAATCTTAATTCTCGATTATCAGCCAGTTTAGGGACCTATGCAAAAGAATACCGTACAGGAAAATGGGAAACCCTGTGTGGGAGCCCAGTATTGCAAGCGTGACGTGAGCGGGGCTTAATCAACTCCCTAATATTGTTGGAGGCCTAAGGCAGCGGTGTCTCCAAAAAGTTGCCGTGGTGGGGGTCCAAACCAAGGGGATGACTCCTCGGGTCCCGGAAATCCCAGGTAGGGTTCACGGGGAGAGTTTTTATGGTTCAAATTGTGCTTAGTAGGCCACAATTATTATTAGGGATTGGTAATCAATCAACATAACGTTATTTGGATAGGCAAATTACTATTGTTGACCCGACGACCTTATCGTGGCGTTAGACAACGGGGGGGTTTAGGCCTATCCGATGGGGATTCTCCTCGATCCCCGCCGTTGGCGTCACCACTGGTCTCTGGGATTGTTAGGGTCCCGCCCAGTAGGGGTCCCAGACCGACCTTATACGCTGATATCATTTTCGGGGTTCAATCTAAGAGTGGTCTAATGAGCTAACATACCAATCTTTACGATTTTTCTAGGTAAACACATGGCCTACTTGTAGGCCTACATCAAGTAGGGGCCCCCCTTCCTTGATTGAGGTGGAAGGCCCCGGCGACGCCACTGTTCAGCTCAGTGTCAGGTGAAAGTCTAAAATGCACAGCGAAAGCCGAAATGAATATAAAATATTTTATCAATTTTATTACCTTTCCTTGCCATAATAAATGAACTACTGTATTTCCGTGTTTACCTCAGTTTGCGTCGCTTGTGCTTTCACTTCAAGACATACCACGTGATTTACTACAGTACTGTACTAGTTTCCTGGTCACTGAATCCTCAAATCTATATCTCTTTTGCTCATATAGCATGCTTCGTCCCCGTCACCTCACCGGGGGACCCCGCGGCCCCAGACATATCGTCTTGTGTGGGCCCAAGGGACACTGGCCAGACAGGGGCCTCGCCACTATCCACAAGAGTAATTTCAATGTGGTGTAAATTATAATGCCTACTTTAGTGAGAGCTATAATAATTGCTTGAATGTGCTATAAATGTATATAGCTTATACTAAAGGGCCTAATTAATGTCTTAATATTATATTCTGAATAATAGGCTAGCTACTACAGGTAAGGCCAAGTAAAAAAAAAAAACATGTTTCGCGTCCCCGCCCGCATCGTTTTTTTCGCCCGCCTCGATTTTTTTTTTATTTTTTATTTTTGGAAAATTCATGAAAATAAAGAAAAAATATATCGAAAATTTAGAATTAAATGTTGGAAAATAAATACCCTAGCCTAAAATAGTGCAATATCTTCGTCTAACCTTTCGTATAGTAAAGCTATGCCTAGGCTAGCCCAATATCTCTACCTAGGCCTAGGCTAGCCCGATATCTCTAGGCTAGGCCTAGGCCGTCGCCTACTCTGGGCGTAAGGCGGCAGACCTCGAGTTCACTTCACTAGAGCGCGTTTGTCATGCATACAATTGCCGTATTCGATTGGGACTATACGTTGAGTATGTTATCCCGTTGAGTACAAAACTCAACGATAAATTCCGAGCGTTAACTTCGTTGAGCAGTTTCCGTTGAGCAGAGCACGAAAGTCCCAATCGAATACGCCCGATGATTTCCGATGAATTCTGGAATTTCTATGTCAGATTGTATGGAATAGTTTCATGTGAAGCCGTCTGAGACGTAACATCGGGAACATTCCGATTGTATACAGTAACAATGATTCCTAAATTTTATATGTTGAACAAAACTAGACGGGAAATGTCAACAAGTCTGTAGAATGGCGGCCATTTTGAAAAATAAAAAATAAAAAATAAAAAAGGCCGCTTCCTCAATTTAAAAAAAAAGCCGGACGTGAAACATGTTTTTTTTTTTACTTGGCCTAATATATCCTTGTTATTGATATGATAAACTATAGCTTGTATTACCTTTACAGGCCACTGCAAAACAAATGGCTAAAATTATCTTGAACATCGTTGTAGTTAGCTCGTATTAGGCCTGTGTTTAAATCTCAGAATAGGGTACTGGTATGGAATTGAAACTGATTATACAGCAGAGTTGTTTCAAGTGTAGTGAGATCAAGTGAGGCAGTCGTTATGAAGATCCTATATATTGCTTTCGTTTATGTTGTAATTGCGGTATGTCAATTTAACAACTGACCAATCAGAACAGGGCCGGGGATACGCGCTTGTCCGACCAGTGGTGGCGCCAGGACCTGCCCGACGCGGGGGACTGTCTCTTATACACATCTAGATGTGTATAAGAGACACGAGTCTCACTTGGCTGGGGGAAGCCTAGGACCCCGGTGGGGGTCCAGGGGGCTTCGCCCCCTCCCCCTGAAAGCCACGGGTATTTGATGAATTATGGCGATTTTTATTACTTATTTGATAGGCATCGAGTAAGCTTCCCCACTGTGTCCGACAGGCGCACGTACATGTTGTTCCCTATTATAATGCTATTTATATTATAGAGATCAAGAGTAGTAGAGATTTGTAGTTATGCCACAAACGCACGTGTTTACGACGTACTTTTACGGCGTCATTTTGTGGTACCTTAGCAACAATATCCAAGGGGCGGGGCTTAGAAAGGTCCATTGCCGCCAAATCTTCAAAATGCATCAGCCGAATGTAGTACAATTGTTTATCAGTGTGATTAATCTGCTCAATAAACAATTTTAATTACTTGTGCAAATATAATATGTGGGTAACCCACATCTTTATATACGACTTTTCATGGATCTTGGCCTGCTATGTAGGCCCTCTTTAGGCTAGACGCGCCTAGACGGTTGGAAGCGACGATCGAAGAAAAACGGTTAAGCAAGCCAAGGACTTCTTCCATTCCTCAGTATTAAACTCCTTCCATTGATGGGCACTGTCTAAAACTTTCTTCCAGGTTATCTCTGAAAAGATTGTAACATTTTCGTCTGCAGTTGGCTCAACATGAATTACACAGGAGCCAGTGAGCTTCCATGACGGCCTAGGCTCGGACATGACACGTTGTTGTTTGTTGTTATTTCGCGACGTCATCAACGAGTACAATGCATTCATTATCCACCATCAACTAAACTGCCTAAAAGGGGAAAAAATGGTTCGTGTGGGAATCGAACACACCAGCTCCATGTTTGCTATTCATTATCCACCATCAACTAAACTGCCTTAAAAAAAATCTGGCTCGTGTGGGAATCGAACCCACGATCTTAAAAAAAATAAAAAAATAAAAATAAACAAATTAAAAAAAAAAAACTTGCCCCGTGTGGGAATCGAACCCACGATCGCTGAGCTTACTACCCCTGATCCAGCATGACTAAACGGAGGGAGGTAAACCGCGGCCCCTAAGCCATAAATGCGATAAACCTAGTACCACACCAAGTACCAGTTAGTCAACTCTGATCCTGCTATAAAAAATTCTTTGTATATATACACTGCAGGTTAATATTACGCATGGTCATGGTGTCAAAAATGGGCCGTGGGCCAAGAGGGTTTATTTTTTTGTCTAAAAAATGTAGAATTGAATTTATAATCGATTTTTGATTACCATCTCCATAACTTACGCACTTTTTTTAAATAGACAAAAATGTTTGAAAAATTCATTATGCAAATTAGAAAAAAAAATAGACTAATCATGTTACGGGAAACCTGGTGGTTGTGTGTTCAATTCCCACACGTACCATTTTTTTTAATTTTTTTTTTAAGGCAGTTTAGTTGATGGTGGATAATAAATAGGCTACCTGAAAATTGTTGACCCAGGTTTTAACAAAAGAGAGACAGAGTAGGCCTTCATAGCAAGATACCGGTACCTCTGCCCACAAACATCTGAATTACATATAATACACGACTCGAGTGAGCGTGCTTTTATTATAAGTTGAGAAGTATAAGAAAAAGCGTGCAAAGATAAGATTGGTTTTCGGCACAAGAAGTAGGTAAAGTTAAGTAAATACATCAAAGACAACTAAGTTTTATTTCCTATGGTACCGTACATCACAGCGATTAATTAGATCGATGATGATGAATGTTCTATATAACAGGGGCGGACGTTGGATGTTTTATTGGGTGTTGCCCATAGCAAGCCGAAAGGCCCAAACGAGGTGCAAAGTTCCGAGCGAGGTCGGGTATGGTAGGGGAAATCCCTCCTCATCGTTCGAAATTTTCGAAATTTAAAACAAATTAAGACCCCAGAGGGTCAGCCTCAGAGAGGGCATCTATATGACTAATAAAGTTGTTATAGAAGGGACTAATCTCTGAAGCTCAAGATCCCTATTTAGGATAGTCTATATTCTTCACTATCTAGGTTATAGTCTGACCACGGTCTGACCATTCTTCACATAAGCTATCTTGGTAGGTTTCATCACCATTGAGTCTCTCATCTATATTTGAGATACAATACAGACATTGCTCAGCCCCATGGTTGGGATTGAGGTGAAATATGCACCTCTAGGTACCCGGAAATTGCACTCTCATACCTTAAAAATCTTACCGGTAGGCCTATACTTACGTTCATATCAACAATACAATACAAACACTTTTCTTAATACAATTAAGGGGGTTGCGATCTCACTGTCTACCCCCCCCCCCCCTTCATACGCTAAAGCATCGTTTCCGACAGCATTTTGCATTTGAATTCATATAAAGTCATTGTGCTGTGCACATACTGTATGTTCCATGTAAAGATAATTTTGTCAGATAGCACACGCGCTAACACGTTCTAACCATGGTATTTAGATTATTGTTCATAACGAAACATACCGGGGCTTCTTGCTCTGGTAATATATAGTCCGTATAAACTCGGATCAACACATTTCCACAAGTAAATAAATGCTGAATAGGCTCTTTGTTTATATAAAATCTTTACTGATATTCTAAATTTCATATAAAGATATTTTGGAAATTACATAAGGTCTGGGTTCGATGTCGAATTATGAATGATAGGCCTATCCGTTAAAAACACAGGTGGGCAAAGTGCGGCCCGACAGCGATTTTTCTTTTGCGGCCCGCAGATATGAATTAAAAACCCTTGTATGGTATACCGGTAAATAATATGGTGAGCCGTACTAGTCTTAACAGTAGGGAATGATTTCATTGTTATGTTAATACCTCCATTGTTTTTATTACTTGCCTTTTGTTTTAGACCTTAGTATATTCGATTGCATGTTGCTCCTCTTATCATTCACCTGAAGAAGTGTACTGTGTACACGAAAGCTTGTGACAATACATATTTCAACTAGTCTATAAAGTGCTACCATATTCTTATTGTTTGGTATACCGGTAGTTATACATTTTATAAACATACATGTTGTTTATTTATAAAATGTAGTTATACATTTTATAAACAAACAACATGTATGTAGTTACTCCATTTTTAGAGTGTCTGCGCCCGCCGCCAAAACTCTGATGATGTTTGCGTACTATTAACTAAACCATGGAGGAGATTAGTCTAATTTCTCCATGATTAAACGAACTCTCTCTATATAAAGAGAACAAAACTTTTACTCAACCCTCTGATTTCGAAGGTTTTGCGTACTATTAATTAAACGAATTCTCTCTCTATATAGAGAGATCAAAACTTTTACTCAACCCTCCGATTTCGAAGGTTTTGCGTACTAATACTATTAATTAAACGAACTCTCTCTATATATAGAGAGATCAAAACTTCTACTCAACCTCCGATTTCGAAGGTTTTGCGTACTATCGCGAAAACTCGAAATCGGAATTTTCAAATTTTTAATCAACTCCGATTTCGGAGTTTCTGTGTACTGTTAATTAAACAGTATAATTAGCATGTATAGTAGGCCTACGCAAAACCTCCGCAATTGGAGTGTTGATTAAACGTTTTGCCCCGTCTTTATAATGATAGTAGGCCTAGTACCGTACGCAAAACTTCCAAAGTCGGAGGGTTGATTAAAAGTTTTGAAACTTCAATTTCAGAGTTTTCACGTATGTACGCAAAACCTCTGAAATTGGAGTTGATTTAAAGTTTTGCTCTATCTAGGCCCTGTCTCTTATACACATCTAGATGTGTATAAGAGACAGGTATTTAGATTATTGTTCATAACGAAACATACCGGGGCTTCTTGCTCTGGTAATATATAGTCCGTATAAACTCGGATCAACACATTTCCACAAGTAAATAAATGCTGAATAGGCTCTTTGTTTATATAAAATCTTTACTGATATTCTAAATTTCATATAAAGATATTTTGGAAATTACATAAGGTCTGGGTTCGATGTCGAATTATGAATGATAGGCCTATCCGTTAAAAACACAGGTGGGCAAAGTGCGGCCCGACAGCGATTTTTCTTTTGCGGCCCGCAGATATGAATTAAAAACCCTTGTATCTGTCTCTTATACACATCTAGATGTGTATAAGAGACAGATTGTATACAGTAACAATGATTCCTAAATTTTATATGTTGAACAAAACTAGACGGGAAAAGTCAACAAGTCTGTAGAATGGCGGCCATTTTGAAAAATAAAAAATAAAAAATAAAAAAGGCCGCTTCCTCAATTTAAAAAAAAAGCCGGACGTGAAACATGTTTTTGTTTTTACTTGGCCTAATGAGATGGTTTTTTATTCATTAGGTATGCGAGGACTAGGGCCT